AACTTACAGAATGTAGTAAAAGAGGTACAGAGATACAGAACTAAACAGCACACTGGCTAACATGTTCTTTAGAACAGTTTGCCATTATATTTAACTGTAAAATTGGAAATGAAAGAATGGCTTTGTATTCCACCAGGTGCATACATTCTGTGATTTAGGACAAATAATTTTAAATTTAATTCATTTTCCTTGAGTTCAGTTTCCTAGAAGAAGCTGTGCATATATGCTAAGACTAGATCAATTAGCTTTATCTGTAGTTGATGAAAGAACACTGTTTCCTTCAGAGGACAAGAATAAATTAATTTTAAGCAAAGCATGCAGTACAGGAATAATTCATTCTCCATACACACCTGCCTGTTGACTTCACTATATTAAATAGATCCCTAATTTTCAGAGACTAGAGATGAGCAAGATGAATCTCAAACTCAGCATCCCTAGCCTTCTGTGCCACCAAAAGGCACACAGCCCATGCAACTCAAAAGCTCTCCAACCACCAGCTCCCAGTCTGGATTTTGCACTCAGGATGTGCTTGTTCAATTACTGTGCTGTAATATAGCACCACAAACTCTCAGCCAGTTGTTCAGGCCACAGGAAAATCCTGTCTGACTGACCTGCTGCCTTACAGGATCCTCCCGTACATCCTGATACTGTAAACTGCTGCCAATGTTTCCAAATTGTACCTTACCCCGATGTTTTGATGGAAACATTTTGAGTTTCTTGCTACAAGACTACAGCACTCTAATAGGTCAATGGCCTTTACCATACTGTAAAAGCTGGAGTTGTATCTGAAGATTGACTCTAACACTAGATTAGGATTAAGTCCACTGTTTTTCAGATTTATGATGTATTTCTGAATTATAGTCTACATGGCACTCTGAGTTCTACTGCTTGGCTAAAAAAGACACAACAGCAAATACAAAGAATCACATAAAAGTTCCAGAACACATAACCCCAATTCTCTCCTAGAGTCCTAGAGTCGATTAACTTTGCACTTATCCTGAGCTATTTCTAATATAATTTCTAATTTTAATATGACAACAGTAGTATATAATTCTACACAGAATGCCTAGATAACTTGATATTTGAAACTTCTGTGGTCCACCTACACCAATGCTTCTCACATTGACACCACCGGTAGAGCAGAACCAGTGGCAACAACAGTAGGATATTTTGGAAGGATGAGGAAGAACAGAAAGAACAAGTATAAACAAGTCCTGCTGAATTACTCCACTGACTCTGCATCATTGAAAGGGAAATGCTGTTAGGGCAAAAGCCAGCTGTTTAACTATTGGAATCCTATACCTTGGACTGCTTTCAGAGACATCACTGTGACTAGACTTTATATCTGCTTGTTACACACTGAAAGAAACATCCACAGATTTGATAAAGTAGATTAAATAAGAGCCAAATATTCTAATAAGCAAACTTTGACCTACATGATATGAAATTCTTTTGAGCTAGCAACTGACAAAAAAGGAAAGAAACCTCCAAGGAAATCAGTGTACATCAGCAAAAAGGAATGCCTAGGACTGTTGTACGTCCACAGGCAGCACTTTGAAGGTTGAGTAAACATAAGAAACTTTTGATAACAGCTGGAAGGCAGCACTCAAATTATGTCAGAAAGATGAGAAAGAACTATATGGGTTCCCAGTAAAGGACACAGAAGGTGCAATCCATACTGAAGGCAATATTATTAAAAAAAAAAGAAGGAAAATTATATTAAAAATGCAGAACCACCAGCCATTAATTTACCAATATGGATTTTTGTCTAGAGAGTAACTGAAGTGCCTAGTTATATCAGTCCTTATGTAGGAGAGCATTCAGACATGTGCTCACTGTTTAATATGTGATTTAGTCCAACACACCACACAGGAGCTTGAACATTTGCCTAGATCTAAGTGCATACTTTGGTAACTTGATGAACTGGCACCATCTGATCCTGCAGTCCTGCCAGAACAGATGGGCCAACAGTCATAACACCTGTAGAAGTGGTGGTATCTCCTTGTAATTCTTCATCTCATCTTTCTCTGTGATAGCGTCTTTGTATATTGCAGCACTTTAGAGGTCAGCAGCAATTTAAAATCTATTACTTTAAAATTACTTTAGTCATCAGATATTTCTCAATCATGTTTGTAGATCATGATTACTGAAAAGAAATATTTTTTTCTGTTATTTGCTCTCTCTGTTGTACAGCACTTTAGGCAATATCACTGTCTACATCACACAAATTTTAAGTATACTTGATTGCTTAGGTCTTTTGAAAGCCTTCGGAAAACATTTCTTCAAAGAAAAAGTTCTGACTTCTCAATACTAATGTTATCTTTATGTAAGGATGAGCATTTATAATGCCATATGATGCATGAATATTTAAGCCTACAAAAAAGTTAATATCACATTTCATAGCTGACATCATCACTAGTGTGATAGAGATTCCATTCCTATATTTTTACACGTCCCATACAAGCTTTTTGAAGAGCTATTAAACATTATATAATCCCTCATAAAATTATATTCTGTAAGCAAAATACATAGATGTCTTTGGTCTGGCTACTCTAAAAATGATTTTGAAATGCTCTGAGATTTTCACCAGAAAGATTCCAGGATTCAGGATTTGTATTAACTATTTATGTAAATTTATGAGAGTGTGGAAAAACAGTTGCTACTGGTTACTAAATAAAGCAGGCAGCAGGAGTAATTAGTAAAGGTATTTCATCAACTTTATAAATTATTCAATTTGGACACTGAAGGGTAAACTTGAACAGAAGTTTTTAGGAAATGTTTGTTTATGAAAAATTGACAGACTGATAGAAGAAATGGAAGCTCAGCTAATCAGTTCTTATACCTATAGTTCAGCTGGATCTGGACACCTGCATATCCAGGAAAACAGAATTTGCCCTTCCATGCTTTAAATGGGAGCAAGACAAAATGTGGCACCACTGTAGGTATACTGCAAAGTAATGAAACTCCACACTTTATCTGGAGTGCTAAATTTTACAATTATTAGGCTAAAACAACCAGATTAACAGATTTCAGGAAAAATCTCCAAGGAAAAGTTTGCATCTCATATTATAACTCCGTGAGGGAAAATTGTCTCTGAAAAAAAATCAAACCAAACTCCATATCATAGTATTTGTATTACCTTTCAGTGATACACATAAAACAACACATACACAAATCAAAATATTACTGTAATCTACTCCTGGCTTGCTGTACTGTTTAGTCTTATGAAACAAATAATTTAGCAGGCAATGTACAATATAGAGGCCCCCAGTGGATTGCAATATCCTAAGTAAGCATGTTTTTCTTCTTGTTGAATATATAGTCCCTGGAGGTGGGGGGGTGGGGAAATTTGAAAAATCTGTTTTCTGGGTTTACAAAGCTCATAGGGATAGTTAGTTCTTAACTGGCTGAATTGCTGGCTAAAATGTGAGACATACTATACCACTAGAGGTCTTTTCATTTACCGATGTTCTGAGGCCTCAAGGGTTCTTCATCAGTGGATACATGTTTTAATCACAGGGAACAGTAAAATGTAGCACTGTCTTTCAAATTGACAACTGCAGGACAAACACAGGGATATCAACCTAGACTTTGCCATACAAGGACTGGGGGCAATAATTTCCCAAAGAGAAACTGAATATTCATCTTTTTTTGATATCCTTATCCTTTATTTAACTTGACTAATTCTTATAATGTAAACTCCTGCCAAATTCTGTGAATAACAGATTTTTGGTCTCAGTGATATAACTGAGAAGGAGAAATGAGAAAAAAAGAAGGCAAGAAAAGAAATCAGTAGAGCTGACTGAATTGAGTTACTTCATTTTTTGGCTCTTGGTACGCTTGTCTTTTTTTTCCATATTTTTCAGTTCTTAACCAATGTGGATCATTCTGTAAATGGAAACATTTAATGCTGAAAATGTCAAAACAAAACACTTAATCTTTTGAGAATTTTACTATCTAAAATCAAATTCTACCAGAATTTTAAAATAGATGTAGTAAGTAAGCAACTTCTTCCTTTTTGTGAATTTACTGTTCCTTCATTTCTAGTTAGTCATAACAGGGAAACTGCATATCTGACTTGGTTGTGCACAAACAAAACCAGGAAATAATGGGTCTTTAATCTCTGTGTAGGACAGCAGAGAATTCAGCAGTTACTAAGGAAATCATAAACCACAGGGGGAAAGAAGACAAAAATATGTGTGTGAGAGTTGTATGAATGAAAATGTTGGCCTTTAATGGAGTTGAGTGACAAATGCAAAATATTTGCCAATTAAATGTTTTCCATAGATGGCTGGTGCAAATGCAAAGCACAGAAAGCCATGCTATATCAGTCACTTTTCTTATCTTGTGCAAATTTATGGAATATAAAAATCTTCTTTTATCTGTTCCATCAACCTTTCTATTTCAGTTACTTTATTACTTCAGTTCCTGCTTTCCACTTTTGAGCTTGCAAATCTTACAGCCTCTGCAGTGATGCACAGTATTTATTTCCCCTTTGGAACACGCTCTGACTTCACACAGGACCTTGGTGTGGCCTTTTTTATTAGGAAATACTTGTCTACAACACAGTCATGATCTATGGTTTTTACACACTAGCTACCTCAGTCGGCTCAACAATCAGTTTTTATACAAAAGCTAAAAAGCAAATTTCCTTTGTAAGGTGTCTAAATGTCAGATTTCAGTTTCCTCCTTTGCTATTTTCAAGGCTAATGCAGTTCAAGAAAATATTTTAATAATACTTTTCTAAGAAGGCATAGATTTCCTCAATGCTTAAATAGCAGCCACAGATAGAGATCAAAGCTGTCTATTTCCAGGAATATCTGGAAAGGAATATTCAAAGGTGTATCTGAGAACAGGGTCTTAGAACAGATACATGCAGGCAGCCTCTACAATGGTCATTGGTGATTCAGTTAACATAATGTATCTTAATAGTATGACTGCTCCTGAGACCTTTGCATTTCCTTTCTAACATAAGAACTTTCCCTTTGTGTTTTGAATAGGTAAGCCCACAGGGTATGGATCCAGCAGTAGACGCTTACACCACAAGGGAATAGTGGATGAATGCTGCTTCCAGAGCTGTGACCTGAGGAGGCTGGAGATGTATTGTGCTCCAATAAAACCGCCCAAATCCGCACGGTCTGTACGCGCCCAGCGCCACACCGACATGCCAAAAGCACAAAAGGTACGCCAGGCTGGGAAAAACTCACAACAACCAACTAACAATCAAACCAGACCAACAAAAAAAGAACCAACGAAAAAAATCCCTACGTATTTTAGCGAAGGAAAATTCTATCAAGGCTGATAACAGAAAACAATTGATGTGTTCTGCGTACTAGATTTAGCAGAACTTTGGAAAATAGTTGCCAAGGTGGGAAATAAGTGGGAAGCGGTGTGCTCCACCTCATCTCTTAGAACACTGAATAAAACATGGAATTGCTAAACTAGTAGTTGTGAGGTCTTATCCTGCCATAGGGTAGTAAGTGGCAAGTACCCACATCATCCAATCATAAATACCATCTAAGACTTCTGTCATAAGAGAAACTAAATACTGAATGTTTAACAACTCATCTATCCAGAATCTCTTCACTCATCCTTTCTTTTGAGGTAGAGGTAAAGTAAGTGCTCAAGAAGGAAATCGGACATTCTGCTATTCATTTTACATTTAAATGAACTTTTTTTTCCTTCTTTTTTTTTGCTTTTTTTTTTAATCAGAACTGAATTCAATGGATAGTCACTGTGATAATTGCATACTTCAAGTATTTAAAGTTCAATAGGTATATTCTCCAAGTCACTTCCAACATTGATTGGTATTATTTATATAGTTGTGGAGTTCTGATTATCCAGATATTTGTTCCTCTGATACCAGATATACTGTACATATATGTATCAACAGAGTGTATAGTTCAGGAATCGCATCTTGACTAGGTTACAATTAAGCTCATGTTCAACTGTCTCTCATGTCTGAGGCCTGAACATCTGTTTTACATATTATCTGTCTTCTGCTGTAAATCTCCTGTGATTTATTTTATTGCTGTTGACCCTGTCTGTCCTACACACATGTTGGCACCACTCCTGCAGTTATCTGAAAATTCTTGCTTACAAGACCTGGAACCTAAGATTCCGTAGGAAGTCAGGAAACCAGTGCTGTATATTAAAATCTTTAATATCAACTTTATGAAAAGAACTATTGTAATCATTCCAGCATCCATTCTTTTCCATAAGTCAATCCATAGAACAGAATCCTTTCCCCTTTCTTCCTCAAGAGTTTTCCAAAAATCATTGTCTGTACGATCTTTCCTGGGAAGTATCACCTTGAGACCTCAAAGGGCACACAGGGTGACAAGTGAAGACTTCTTCAGGTGGAGCTCAACCACAGACAAGAAACCCCTGTTTTAGGTTTATTCCTGTCTGGGCACACATAAACTTGGGGCTTGCTGGAAAAGAAGAAAACAGGCTTGGCCGGGAATCCATGTGCTCCTTTCCATGCTTGTTGCTAAGACAATGAATAAACATTGGAGTAAAGGAGACAAGATACCTGCCAGCTCTTTGATGGATCTCCACACCACTTTCCTTGGAGGACTAAGGAATGATGTCATCTTTAGGCAGCTGCCCTCTTTCCAGTTCAGAACACAGGCAGGACAGAACTGTTTTTTACAGACAGGAAAGACCTTGTATCTTTTTGCAGCATCAGGGGAAGTAGCACTCAGGAGGGGTACTGGAAAAACGAAAAAAAAAAATAGAGGGAGTATGTAATTGAGTAATTGAGAGAGCATAGCTGCACAAGAAATCATCCTAGAAATTAAAAAGGGAAAAAATCAAGAGGTGAAAAGACAATGAGGAGTACAAGAAACAAACAAACAAACAAAAAAAGAATGAGGGAATTAGATCAAGGAGGTCGAGAAGATATAAAATACTGCAAAACTGAATGAACCAGCATGCATCACAAATAAAAAGGGTGGAATTTTTAGAAAAATGGGAGAGAAAATTAAATTAGAGACAAATTAATAATAAAGAAGACCTTTAAACAAACCATACGTATAAAGGAGTGTGTTGAACAGAATAAAAGAAATCATAAATGCTTCTCAATTGGAACTTGGCAATAAAATAACAATCTGATGGGAAATACAAACAAATTTTCATTTTTATCTGTGGATGGAGAAAATCAGATTGAGGAAATGAAAATATAGAATGAGTAGGAGAAACTATTATTCAGATTTAAGATAGAAAAAAATTAAATGTGAATATGTACCAGTTTTTCCTACTGAATTCCACTTCTCTTCCCTCCAGTGTACTTTTCTTTTATCTTTCTCTTTTCTTTTTGCAGTCAGTTGTACATGGTGCCATTAAGGAAGGCAACTATATTCAAACTTTTTTTGGACACACTCTCCAAAGATAATGTATTTAGCTAGTTCATAGTGCCACTGATTTTAACTAAAGTAATAGATATGCTTAAGTCAAATTATTTTTCTGTTAAACAATTTTTTTCTCTCAAATTATATGCTATATATGAGATCTATATCTTATTCATAGAAAGTGATTATTTATATAACTATGATTATGCATCTACGACCTTTTCAAAATTTTCATATTTAGATGCAAGATGTAAGGTAGGACTAGGTGCAATACATAACATGTACAGTTCCTCTCAGATTTCATAGAGAATCAGTTTCTTATGCATTTCATATATCTGATAGTCTTTTTTTCAGCATCTCCTCATAATCTTTTAAATGACAAATCTGGGATTTGGGGTTTTGTTTTAGTGTTTCTAATGCTTGAGTAAGTGGTCTGTTTCCTCAGTTCCTTGGGTAGATGGCTCCTGCTAGGCACAAATTGGTAGGTGATCTTACTTCAGTGGAGTAGGGATCTTCTCTTATTTGCAGTTTCAGTATTTCTGCTGGAAAGCAAAGTAATGGTTTCTCCTAGTTTTACACTATATTTAGAGTTTTAAAGCGCAAAACAAGAGCAAGGAGGGGAGTTTAAGTCCTGTCTTCGGTAACATCTTTCTTTCATTCATTTCTTTCTCTTCTGAAAAATGCTAAAATTTAGTCAATTGCCCTTGAATTAAATTTTAACAGTAATTTGGAAAACTATTGAGTAACTCTTTGAAAAACAACGGCCTTACCAAAGGAAACAACCGAGCAATTTCCACAATTGCACACATATGTGGGAAGATTGGGACCTTTTCTAATGAAGCAGTGCCGCAGAAACAATGTCACAAAGTTCCTACAAGTTCAAGATTATAAGATACCTTGAAAATTAGTATTGAATGTGAAGTCTGGTAAGGCTGGTTTTAAAATTCAGTGAAAAAGAATCATACACTCATTTAGGTTGGAAAAGAACTCCAAGAACATTGAGTCCAGCCATTAACTCAGCACTCCCAAGTCCATCAGTAAACCATATCCATAAGTGCCACATCTGCATATATTTTAAATAACTCCAGGGATAATGACTCCACAACTTCCTTAGGCAGCCTTTGTCAGTGCTTGACAATGTTTTCTGTGACAAAAGTTTTCCTGCCATCCAATCTAAACCAACCCTGGCACATCTTGAACTTGTTCATGAACATAGTGCCATGCCATCCCCTTGCATCCTGAACAAAACAGCAAAAGAGGTGCATATCTAAATGTAATTTTGCTCTTCCTCAGACTTGCAGTCCTTTTTTTTTCTTAGGCCTCATATGTGAAAAATACACATAAATGTATATACCAACAAAGTATGAATAGGAAGTGGATTTTCTCAAAAATACTTTCAATATTTTATCTAATCTTCAACATTTAAATAAATACTGAGTGGGACTAATAGAGGGAAAAGATATTAGTATCTTTAGTTTAAGAAAATGCCATTAAGACAACAGAAAAAGTGTTGCATTATTTCTCATTAATTTTTCTAAGACTGGCAGATTCTTTTGTAATTGCCTCAGTATCAACTCAGATAGATTCATAGGCCAAAATATGCACCACGGCACCAATCCTAATTTCTATTGAAGCCACGCCATATTATCAAGCCAAGGAGTGAACTTTTAGGTGTAACAGATAGAATGACTTGGCCTTTTCAGAGAATTATTTTCTCTCACTGCTTGCTTTGTAGCCCTGTTTTTATGTCAGTGATCATACTGCCCACAGAACTAGAAAGCTTTCAAAGAGGCCCCAGAGGATTCATAGCTGAGGTATCATGCCTGTTACTACAAATGTTAGAATTTCCATTTATTACCAGTAGATCAAGGGAACTTTCAATGCCAAATGAAGTTTGAATGTCTGCCCTAATAGGATAAGAATGTTGCTGCTTGCTTCCTAATATCCTTCCAACTCAGTCAAATGACCATTACCACTACCGAGGTAGTTGTTATCCTACTGCAAATGATGCCTTATCTCCAAAGATCCCTGCTGAAGGTAATGGGCTAGAAGTCTGCTTCCCTGTTCTTTAGCTGAGTTATACATTGCTCACATTTTGCATCTCCCATCTTAAAGTTATGATTGTCTTGGTCTGGGTATGAATATCAGCTCAGAGCAGTTTTATTTCTAATTATCTTCTTCTCAGAGACTTGAGAAACAAACCAAATTTTTCTATACCAGTACAAATGCAGGTCTGAGAACCTAATTCAAGCATTCACACCTAGCTTTGGGGTCTGTGTTTTTTTCCCCACAGTGGTCTCAGCATTTCATACTTAAATGTGTTATGTGGGTCAAAGCATTTTCTGGCATGCATGCTATTACCAGTACACTTATTTGTAGTTATTTATCAAAATGCTGATTCTGGAGAAGGAAGTGTTCTAAAAGCAATCTGCCATCTTCCTTCAATTTCAAAGCTAGTCTATCATGACAACTCTTTTTCCACCTACATGTCAGTATTAAAATCTGTAAGTGAAACACTCCTGCATCTTAGTACCTGCTTTATTTGAATGATAAAGCCATTTTAAAGTCCGACAACAACACTAGCAGAGAGAATTTATATTTTCATTTGGGAAACATACAGTTAATTTTCAATCTAAATATACTTTGAAAGTCACTGCAATACAAAATGGCTGTTGTTTCATTTTAAGGCTCTCGCTTCCCATTTTATAGATTAAGAGTCTGTAATCTTTAAGAATATATGACTTTTGGCAAATAAAATGAAGCATATAGCTTTTCCTATATGCTAGTAAACTCTCTTCAAGGAGGAGCACCTAGGGTCAGCACAGAGGAGAATATTTTGTTTTGTTGCTGTGTAGAAAAAGAAAAACTGGGCAGATGAGTAAAGAAATTCCTGTTTTCTTAGCTCATTGTAACCAATACAAGCACTTGTAGAATAAAGCAGGATCCTTAGTGTTGGCAGACTCCTGTGAAATGCTGCAATGATGATTTTAATGAAAATCAGTGAAAATTTAAGGTTTCACTCGGAATAAGCTCTTCAGTGTGAAAACTAAGGTATAACTTAGGAAAAAGATAGCAAAGGTCATTTTGGAAAAGCTGGAAGAGAAACAGGCAATGAAAAGCAAAATATATTTTAATTTAAGGATAAGCAGAATTCTGTTGACATTTCTGATTCTCTATTTGATTGATGCTATTCTACAGCAATATTAGCAAAACTGGATGAGGACAAGCCAGTATCCTTATGAACCGTTCACAGGAATAGTGACTAGATGATTAATCCAGTCTATGAAGGCATATTCCTAAGAAAAACATTTCTTCATTACAGCTATTTTGCTGTTAACAACTTTGGCTTGTCAGTGATGATAAATCCTGGTTTGGCTCAATGTTTTACACTTGGTGGTGGTATAATTAATTTAACAATTACTAATACTGCCTAATTTCTGTTTTACATATTTAAAATAATAATTCCTCTCATATCCATCAGAAGCCAATAAAAAATCCAGTGAAAATTAATAAACTCTCTATGAGTTCAAATTTTGTGATCCTTTGAAATTTTCTGATTTGTTCTATTTTTAATTTAATTTCTGATTTCATTTTTAATAGATACTGAAGGGAAACGGAAAGGTTATATGTAGAATAGCATTTTCTATGGGAAATGACTATGGGAAAACCCCTAAACAACCAATGCACCAAATTAGCTTCTATTTTATTTCTGTCCATTAGAAAAACAAGAAAATTATATTTCTTTTTAAATTATAGAGCCTCCTTAATTCTAGGGCTTAAATAACAGCTAATACAGTGGTAGAGCTGTATACACATGGCTTCACCTTTTACAGAAGTTTTTTTAATATATTTCTGGCTTTTCATGGGAAAAAAACCCCATGATTTCATTTAACTAAGAATTTGACTTCCAATGAGTATTACAAATACGGAGAGTCATTTAAAAATTCTGGCTTTAGTCGACAGAATATGCAATCTTGGGCCTGGCTAATATTTACTAGAGTGACAAACAAGAAAATCAAATTGAAATGTACATACCACTCCCATCACTGCTGCTGAAGACTGGCCTGTGCATGGAATGACAAGGAACTGGGGGTGTTAGTCATTCCATAGCTCTCTTGATTTGCCTAGCACATCACTTTGTCTGTTCTAAAAATACAAATTATATGGCTGCAGCTCCTACAGTGAACCCACAATTTTTTTCTTTGTCAAGACCTTATCCAACAAAATCCAACACATCTAATATGCCATCTGTGCAAAAAAAGCAGAGCAATTTTGAAAATATCTGGTACCAAAGCCCAAGAGATTCCATAAATCCTGTAGTTACAATGCTCCCTGGCCCCTATACATTCTGCTTTTGCAAATGTCTTTGGGAAATAGAGGAATCTTTGGTACCTACCATATCCCTAAGCCCATCCAGGTTCCAACAGCAGATGTCTCCTCTGCTGAGATCAAAACTGGCAGTCGAGGTGTTTATGTCTAGGAGAAGGGGGGATTTCAGGTACAGAAGTTCTGCATATATAAGTTCTCTGTAGATGACTGAATTATTGATTAAAACACAATTATCCACAATTATCTAGCAGTTCCCGCACTCTGGACAACTGTTTTCACCCTATTGTAAGTTTTGTGATGATACAATATATTTAAACCTACCTGTAATAAATTTTTCTTTCTAAACTTTCAGGAAGTGCATTTGAAGAACACAAGTAGAGGGAACACAGGAAACAGAAACTACAGAATGTAAGAACATGCCATCCACAAGAACGAAGAATGAATGTGCCATCTGCAGGATACTTTGCTGTAAATAAATTATTTGTTAAACATTGGAAGACTTAAAAAAACCCTTTGTTTTAAAAAGCTTGATGCAATTTCAACCAATGGGCATTCTCCCAGTGAACAATGCAACTGAACATTCCAATATTAAGTCTTTAGAAAACAGAATATTTTAACCAGCCCAGAGCTAAAAAATTTTGTGGTTGATATATTGCTGTTTGTTAACCTGTTTTAAATGTCCTGCACGAAAACTCTTGAAGTCCTGTGCCCCTCAAAAGCCTACAAATTTATGGGCCTTTGATGGATCCAATTGCACTAAATTAACCTATGAACACTGGCTGCTGGAGTCATTCATCAGCCTTGTCTAAGTGGTGGTTTTTTTTATTTGCACTTCTTTACAAGCAACAGGCTGTTTGTTTTACAGTGTCTGAAAACATTGTTCGTCTACCCCTTCATATTTGCACAGTTTGACATTCCCAGTAACAGCAGCAGTAAGGTAACATATACAGTTTTAAACATCCATTAATTCCATCTGTAGCATTTTGACAAAATATGGGTTATAGATGCATTTGTTTTAAGACAGTTTTATTCTTCCTTCTCTTGCAAACATGCATTTTTTTGCAATTTATGAGACAAAAGATTTTTAAAAGCAGTTAAAGCATACATAGGCTCTCGAACCAGTAATGATTCTTCCAGGTAATAATTTTGCAACAGTATAGGTAACTTCTTTCTTCCTCCATATAATGCAGTATGTAAAATTTAGCATATCAACAATACACATATATCAAACAGTATGTAAAAAAATCTCTGTTTTATAGTACAAAGGTGCTATTTTATAGTTTGTTACATGAAAGGGTCTGGCCAAAACAGTAATAGGCAAAAGCAAATATGGAAAGACCAAGCCAAAGATTAAATAACAAAATACTTTCAAAAATATTCAACTTAAATCAACAAAAAAGGCTTCAGATTTTGACATGAAAATAACTTTTCCATCTTCGAAAGAAAATTCAGATATTTGTTTCCTTTTAGATATTTGAAGGGTGGTGTTTTGACATCTGATTATGGGAACGCAAACTCATAGATGAAAAACAGTGCTCAAGTGACTTCAAAGAGTAGTCCACCAGGGCCAAATGTTCCTGAAATACCAGCATTCTGTTGAATCATAAAAAGGTACTCAAATTCCCCTCCATTTTGATTCTTCCCACAATCAGATGTGGCTTACCTGACTTGAGTTGGGCTGCTGCATCTCTCTGTAAATTAGAAAAGCTAACCTAATCACAAAATTACTAGTGTAGAATAAGTTGTCAAGGAGAGGTTAACCATAACATCCTTACAACCCTTACTTACAACTGCCATTCATGTACTCTTGTGGGAAACAGAGATTCCCAGACAATCCCTGCCATGGAACTTTGAGAGGCCCTGCAGTGGTTCTACCTTGAATAACACCTGCACTTTTGTAAATCAGCCCAGTGTAGGCTGGCCAAGCAGTGAAGGGGGATAAGCAGCCAACAGTGTCCCAAGGTGAGCATTAAACTTGTCTTTGGGAGAAGGCAAGGCCGAGGAGAAGGCACTGTTCCACCCTGTCCAAGAATTCCAATGTGGTCCCATTCAACGTTTTCCCCTCACCATGCTGCATGTGGTAGGCTCAGGCAAGGGATGAAGCATCTCTTGGTCATCTCCAAAGGAGGCCTGGAAAACAGTGTATGAAAGGAATAGTTAGGGAGGTGGTAGATTAGATCCATAAAGGAAGTATCTCCTTTTGAAGGCTGCTCAAATCCGCCTTACTTTCTACTGCAACCGAGGGAGTCAATAACTATTGACTTAAACACAAGAGAAAGTTCTCTCCAGACTGCATATATACAGCTCCTCAATAGTCCCTTGTAAAACAAGCAGGAAAGGCCATAAAAATCTAAGAAATTATTGTAGTTCCTTTTCTATTCCCATAGAAAATTTGCCGTTTGTATTTTTAACAAGTGCAATGTATTCCTATACAACTTTTTAAACCCTCTGCTTTCTGTGAGATGGTTGTCTTTATGCACAATAAGCTGCCGTAGCAATGTAAAAGTAGAACAGTAAACGAATAAAAAGAATATGCCACAGCTCTCACTGACTGAGATAGTTATGTTGAAAAAGGAAGAAAATAAAAGAGAAACAGATGTGGAAACAAACCTGAATTATCTACCACCAATTCAATAAACAGAGTTAGCAATTCTGATACCTGTCACAGCTCCTACAGGCCATTTTTTGGCAGGGGGGATGGAGAGGGAAGGACTTTTACTTTAATGGCTGTAAGAATTCTGCAATGCAATCTAAGAACAAGCCATTATTTTGATGTCACAGACATAATACCTATTTCCATTTCATGCCCCATGACCCTTTCTGTCCCCTATCTCTTCTGAAGTTCCAAGAGGAAGAGGGAAGAAAGGTGTGAGTGTAAAAAGCAATTTGCAGATATCTGTGGCAGCAAATTTCTTTGTAGATAACTTTTTTACTGATGCACTTTTAACTGAATAACTATACATCATTTTGTATTAATTCCTGCAAATTAATTCAAAATTTTGGTCTTATCTTAGAATTCATACACTCACATTCATGCCACCATATTTCTTCTGTTGAAAAACAATAATTAGAAAAAGTTGACAACTGTCTAAACAAATTAGAACAATTCTTGAAAGCAACTAACATAAATACAGTATAGCTGCAAGCTTCAAAGGCAACACTTTACTAAACAATAAATGATATCACAAAATGGAAAGTAGCTCCACCTCCACAGAGGTGAGAAATGCATGGATGGGGAATACATTTTGTATAAGAAATCTCCAGTCATATGGCTGGGAGCACATGATAAATCAGTTAGTGTGAAAGATAAAGGGCTGGATTAGCTCAATAATCGCAATAAATCTGCTACTTAAAGAAGTTGAACTGTGAGCCAAAACATCTCCCTCCCAAAAGACAAAGCAGTCTGTCTCAAAAAAACTTCTAATTAGAGAAATTGAAAGGTTCAGCTGAGTTTTTAAAAGCACTCCAGATATTTAGGAGCAGGGGTCCCACCAGATGCTACTGATTCTCATAAATCACTGAAAAGATAAAGAAAAGCCCATTCATTTCTCATCCTTCCCTATTGTGTAAGTCACATGACAGATCACAGATATTTGCTTTCTAGAATAGACTTAAAACTCCATTACACAGAATACCACTGAAATGCATAAGTAAAAAAGTGAATTAAGCCTCCTTATTTTCAGTCAGTCCAAAAAGCACTGCAGATCTAAACCCACTGAAGTTAGTATCTTTCTTTCATTAAGGTAGCAAAATTTAAGTCTCATCCCCATAGTAAACATAATTATTCATTAGAAGTTATGGAAAATTAATACATTCTTTATTCTTCTCTAAATGTAATTTCCATTTCCATGAAGGACTTGTACGAGCTCATTTGCACCATTCAGCCAAGAGAGACAAGAAAATCAAAGTCTGGGATATTGCATCCAGTCCTGGTAGCTACATGAAAATAGGCCCCCTTTTTTCCCAGGCAGCTTACCATGTCGATTCCTTTCGTAAGACTGAGGGGTGAATTAGTGGTAAACTTTCCTTATAGAAGTGAATTCCATACACAACTAGGAGCTATGCTGAGTTGCCCCCTGAGCTCTTTGTTCTCTCAGTACCAATGGTTAAAGCTGATTAAGGAAGATTTTAGGTCAAGCACTGTGTCTTCTTGGCTCCTCATTCAACAAGCAAGTGCGTGGTATGACAAGGTCAGAAAAGTGTATTTGCATATTTGCTTTACCTGTTACTGATTTGGCCAACAATGCCAAAGTGGTGCTATTGTTTTGTTTAAGAAAGTACTTGACTAAAATATAAAAGAAAGCATAAATATTTTTTTAATGTATGAAAATGACAATTACATAGGTATGGTTATTAAAATAGAAATGAAACTAGCCATAACTTTTCAACTTTTTGTCACTCAAAAAACAGCAAAATAATCTTATATGGATGAAGGTGGGGCAGGAATAAGAATCAAAATGCCACAAAAATTCATAGACTTTAAATGAAATTCTGAATCATTACTCCAAGTCAGAAATTCAGATGAAGAAAAGCGTTAGAAGTCAGGGAACTGAAAGCCTTGATATGACTGAAAGCCTTTCAGATTATGCAAGTCCTGTATCATACCAGAGATTTTTAAGCCACACTGTAGTCTGAAATCGGTGCAGAGTTTGGCTTGGTCAGTGGCATGATATGGTCGAGATTTTCACTAAACACACATTTTTAGTTTTACCTGATTACTTTATCACTCATGGCACATAAGCCAAAACTTAATGTTCTTGAAACCTGCAAAAGATGCAAGTGCATCTCGACTTAACAAGGAATAAAAAAATATTCCTAACAGGAAATTCTTGGCTTTTTAAAAAATTCTCATAAATTCCAATTTGTGAGAAAAAGTTGAAATATATGGCTAGCAGTCTGTGAATTTTTTTATTACTTTATGTGGTCACTAAGAACATCCTTATGTGCAAAATTTCACATTTCTTTTTTTTTTTGTTTAGAAATTAGGCTAAGTTAAGCCCAAAAAGAGATTCTTGGAACCTATAGGCCAAATAGAATACTTATGTTGTTCTGATGAAGGTATAATCAATATATTTAAAATGTTTTATTTTTAGTCTGCAAAGGAATAGTAATAATTTATTTGAGGGGGTTCTACTTATACTGGTCCCTCTTTTTAGGATACTGGTCAGTGGAAATTAGTCTTCCAAACACCCAACTTCTAATCAAAACCAACATTTATTCCTCCCTCTTGCTCCACCCAGCAAAATTAGTTAAAACACTATTGCAACAGAATTTTATTGTTTGTCTGTTTGTTTGGGAGGGTTGTTTTGCTTTGATTCACTTTGTTTTGATTCTGGGGGCAAGGGGTAAGGAGGAGGAGATGAGGCTTTTGAGTGATATTTTTTCTCTTGGGTGCAATCTGCATAAAATAAAGAATTTTTTGCTAATGAGATTACTAATTATCCAATTAATGTGTGGAAGTGGCATTCAGTAATGCAGCTAGATTAAATTTGTCTTGAAAGAAAGATTTCAACACAAGGTTGTTACCCATTCTACTCCTACACTAAACATTTTGCTTCTGACAGCATTGGAATATTCTATTGGACTATAAATGCCCAAAGGCACAGTATTTGATATACAGAAATCTTCTCTGACTTTTCACACAAAAGGGTGTTATGGGAATGTCTGAAATCTTATTACACATCATGCAGTATAGAGATGCCGTTCTGGCAGAGGCCAAAATAGGAAGGACCTCCCTGATGGTTACATTAGGAAATCTTACACTAGTTGCATAAAGGGTGTAGTTGTGTATATATACACATATATAGACACACATACATATATATGTGTATATATAGGCAATGCTATGGTGCGTGCATGTCTATGTGCATGTGTGTGTGCCTGTGTATATTATGCTTTTCTTTTTCCTGTCAAGTAAAATTTGAAATGCCTGCTTTTTTCTCTTCAGATCTTATGGATTATATGCTGTAATCCAACTGGAATCTAATTTTAGAAGAACATTGTGTAATATGGATGTCACAATTTAGATCCTTTGTTTGTCATACCCAAAGAAATGACCAGCTATTTAAACTACTAGACACCTCTTCATTGTCATCAGGCAAATACATTTATTTGTTTAGATACAGATATAAAATACTTACTCTGAGGGCCATATTATAAAAAACTTTATTAAAATTTTATCTTTTATTTCATTTTTCTCCATAAAACTTCTATTAAGTGTGATTTCTTTAAGTATAAGCATCTCTTCAAAGTAAGAATAAACAGAGCAGAACGATAATTTCTGTCATCACCTCAACTATTAATTTTTCATTTATATATATTTTTAAAGAATAATTAATCCCTCTCTACAGCACCCTTAACTAAATCAGAAGTGGAAAAGGCATAGCAAATTCCTATATCCCAAATTATTTACAATAATTCTTGATTTCTCTGTGTTCTTCAGTAACTTCTTATTTTGCCAGCTTGGCTCACAAAAGTCATAAAAAGCACCAATGTGATACTTCTGCTGCTGAACATTCTTTCCCACAAGTATTTAACATACACCCACCTAAAATATCTACATATTCACACTTTAGTGAAGTTCTTAAGAAACAAAACAAATATAGGTGAGATAATTTTTCCCACCCTTTTAAACTAAATTAAATGCATTGCATTTTATTGTATTTTCCATTCATTAGTATAATTTAATTCCTTAAAGCAGAAACAAAATACCTGTAGAATAAAAAGGACTCTATCCTGACAAATAGGATCATGCTTTACATAATGTTAAAGAAAAAGGTTTAGCCAGATAACTATATAAATAACTGATTGAATGAAACTCATATTTTGTAGTGAAATATTTAACTTCATAAATTTAAAAATCAAATTAATATCCCACTCTTCCTGGTTTACTGGCATTAACCTGACTTACGGTGTAAAAAACCCCTCACTTTAACAACGATCAAAGACAAAGGATCCAAAACAAACAGACTAAAGTGTTATCAATAAAAAGGTGTCCTTATTTTGTGCACAATGTTAAATTCCATTCTATTTATTTTTACACTAGAATTTCAAATGCAGTTGATATAAACACTACATAAGAATTATGGTTCTCTTCATTATTTCCACTTAGAGACAAGTATGAATACAATGCAGCACATGCAAATGACAGTGCGGGATACAGTGTATAAATCATATCCTTTCATTTATTACCATTTCTAAGGAATTAGCCCAACAGAATTCTATAGAAATCCTGAGCAAGGTGAAAAAATAATTTTCAGAAGAGTATAATGATAATAGTTGCCTGATTAAGTCTCATCAGACATGAGTCATAAAATACTCCACTGAAAGCACACTGGTACTTCATAATGTTCTGAACAGCTTCACCTGTAGTCTGACACCTCTCATGGCTTTTATCAGAATGTGATGATTCTGTTTCACAGTTTCTTAATCCTTGGAGTCTTAGGGTTGAATATTAAACATGTTTGTCAAGACTAAGGATTTCAGGAAACAAAATGAAAGTAGAAGAAGCAGCACCACCTGCTGCTGATAATCAAATCGTGTA